AGGACACTGGTAGCATCAGAAAGGCTTGAGTCTTTGTGACACAAAGCTGCCGAAATAGATTCGGAGGTCAGAAAAACCAAGGGGGTGCAGCTAGCTAGCTAGCTATAGCGTAGTAGTGTTTACGCATTGTGCACGCAACGCATCATGTTCGTTTTCTCGCCTTGCGTCTTCGTGCCTCTTTGTTTCTCTCACTGCTGGGTGTTTTTATCCTTTTTGCGAAGTGCACGTCCTATGCAGCTACCAGAACCACACAGGGACCGATGGGTTTCAATGGTAGGTGGTCAAATGGTATGCAGAATAATCTTCTTGCAACCCAGCCTTCGACCTAAGCTTGACTTGCCAAGCTGAGTGAATGGGCTTGGCTTTTAGGGCAGATGGCATTTCTGCTCACAAACTGCGCTAATAAAACTCCACTGAAGAGGCCTTCTATCCAAAAGATCCCAAGCAGCTCTCAACACAGCTCTGTACAGCAGCTTTTGACACAGGCTTACCGGCTTAACGTTGCATGTCATTGCTATTAGGTTGAAGGCCGTGACTACTAGTAACAAGAAGCTACTAGGGGCTCCTGGCCTTGCTACTAGGAGGACGTTACTAGGGGCTCCTGGCCTTGCTACTGGGAGCAAGAAGCTACTAGGAGCTCCTGGCATCGCTTCTAGTAGCAAGATCGCTACTAGGTTGGAGGCCATCGCTAATAGGGAACTGTTTCTTCAGGTCTATCTCGAGCCCCTAGTAGCGTCCCTGCTCCTAGTAGCAATGCCAGGAGCCCCGTTCGTAGCTTCTTGTTCCTACTAGTAAGGCACTTGCTCCTAGTAGCGATGCCCTAGTAGCTCCTAGTAGCGTTCTTCATTCTTCGCATGTTCGTTCTTTCTCCCGAACTGAGGCAGCTTTGGCGGCTGAAAACCGGGAGAGGCTCCGCCGCGCCGGGCACCCCAAGTTGATTCCGAATGGGAATTTGTTGTTCCCGTGGCCCTGCCTTCTTAAGGAGGCGCCGACTTAATCAAGTAAGGATGACTAGTAAGCTACTAGCAATATGAAGCCACATATGGACGCAGGATAGCTCACGCTTCAAGGAAGCTCCCCCCGCCGTTGTGGGGCAAAGGTGCGTCAAAAGGGTTTCACGCAGATGAGACCAAAGCCAGCTCGCACAAAGTCATCTCGACGAACGTCACAGTCCAAACCCCGCCAACCTCCACGTTGGACATTTTGGAAACTCATGACATGACCGGTAGCATTGTTTCATCACCTTGAGACCTAAGAGCGATGGCCTCCAACCTAGTAGTTTCTTGTTGCGAGTAGCGATGGCCTCCAACCTAAAAGCATTTGTTCAGTAAAGTCCTCAGACACGATGTGTCCATTATTGTGCAGGGTCCCAGTCTCACTTCTGTCATATGATACTGTAAGAGCAACAACCAACATAGTGACAGTACAAGTGACTACATGACAGAATGAAATAGGAATGCACAGCACGGGGAGCAACCAAAGCCACGCAAAAGTTGGCGTTCTCAATGTGTTTTGGCTGAAAGCTATGCTGAGGCCAATGCATATGCTGTGGATCAACAGATTGAGAAACTTCTCTCCATTCGTCAACGAGCTCAAGTCCGCGACTGAATGTAGCTGCAAAAGTTTCTCGACACCACGCTTTCAGAACTGCAATGACGAAAGCCCATTTCTTTAAAAGAGTACTAACAAAGAAGAAATCTTTGTAGCAAGGAAGCTACTAGGGGCTGGCCGTACTACTAGGAGCGTTCGGACGCTATTAGGAACAAGTGCCTCGCTAGTAGTAACAAATGCCTTACTACTAGTAACAAGAAGCTACTAGGTGCAGGGACGCTACTAGGGGCTCGAGATGGACCTGAAGGAACAGCTACTAGGAACGGTTATTACTATGTGTACGTCCGAAGATTGCTACTCGGGGAGTCCGACCCTCGGTGTTCGACCCTCGGGAGTCCGAAGATCAAGGTCCTCGAAGACAAAAAGACAGAAGCTGACAAGTAGCTTGGCACAAGTAGCTGAAGCAGCTGTTGTGAAAAACCTTTGGAAGAGGGTTTAGGTTTGTTTGCAATGCTTTATGGTCTTTATATGGAAACCTCAAGAATAGCGCTATAGGTAAATGCACGTAGGTTACAAACAATTTTGTCGCTTATCAAGCATTGGGAGGGCAGAAATGGTGTGTTGAATGTCTACCAGCTCAAAATGAAAAAAGTATGTGTATGTTATCATGTTATCAATTCGATATATATATATATATTATAATATATATATATATATATTGCTTGTGTTTTTCTTGGTTTGCTGAGAAGCACCACTGGTTTCGTCCTGTCTTTGTTTCGGCAAAGTCGTCTCTTCGGATGTGTCGCCAGAACTCGCATGGTGGTGATGCGAAATACCGCTGTCACCAAGCACGAGCTGAAGCACAAGGAGGGAAGTTTGTTAAGTTCCAAAGGAACCTCTAGTAGCGTCCTCTTGCTCCTAGTAGTAAGGCCAGGAGCCCCGTTCGTAGCGTCCTTGCTCCTAGTAGCGATGCCAGCAGCCTCTAGTAGCTTCTTGTTACTAATAGCGGCCTCCAACCTAAGGATGAAAGGAAGAATGATTGAAAGAACGGACGAAGAAAAACACTCTTAAGCGTTTTGGGCTGCTTCTCCCTGTTTTGTTTCAGGTTGACCGCTTCAAGGACGTAGGCGGAAGAATGCAGAACGCATTGCATGTGTGTTGCTTCTGTTTCTCGACCATTTGTTCCTAGTAGCGATGCCCTTGTTCCTACTAGCGTCCTTGCTCCTAGAAGTGACGCCTTTTGTTCCTAGTGGCGTCCTCTTGTTACTAGTAAGGCCAGGAGCGCCCATAGTAGCGTCCGATCGCTCCTAGTAGCGATGCCCTTTGTAACTAGTAGCTTCTTAGAGATTTTGCCGGCAGTTGCCAGATATTGAAGCGACCGTTCTCAAAACATGTTGAGAAGATTCTCGGTTTCTCAGTTGCTTCCGTAGCTATGCGGTGAATGTGAGGGAGGGACAGTCGTGTCTTTTTGCAGGTGTGGAGAAGATGCTGGACTTGCTAGAAGATGTTGAAATTGAACCTGCTGCAAAAACAAGGCGAGAACGTTGAGTTCTTGTTCATCATGAGTCGCTTGGAGTCGTGCAAACGTGATGAGTCGCTTGTAGGGCTTGTACCGTGTACCGACGTGACGTGTCAAAAGACGGAAGGATCAATGAAATCCTGGGCGACCTTGGCTTGCCTCCTCTAGGCGGACATCAACAGAAAGAATGGCATCCTGAACCACTACTATCTATGGTCACAATGAGGTTCAATGACAAATGGCCTCCAACCGACTAGCGATGGCCTCCAAATGGCATGTATGGTTTTGCATGCTAAAATCATCTAACATTTATTCCAATTTAAAACATATTTGATTTGTTTGTTCTTTTGCAGTTTGAGACCTGTTCCAACTTTGCAAATTCAGGTGGCTACTCGCAAGAGGAAGAGAAGTAGGTGGGAATTGTAAACATGGATTTCAGCCATGCTACGTGCATCGCAGGAGTTCATGGGTGTTCCATTTAGATCGGTTGCTTTGGATTCTTGACTCCCGGGAAACATGTTTCGAGACTTTGCAAGACAAAATGATTTACTGAACCTAAAAAAGCAAGAGTTGTGACAGTTCTACTCTTCCAAAGACCCAAGGAAGCAAGAGCTTGTTGACGAAATGCTGAGAAAAACAGAGATTGAGACGCTGCACCATTGTAAAGAAGAATGTACCGGAGAGATTCTGGAAAAAAACTGTTGAATTATGTCTCGCACCAACTGCCTCTAAAGGGCATTTCAAAGCTCAGAGAGTCTTTGCCGCGTTGAGCTGACATGACTTAATAGCAATGGTCTCCAACCTAATAGCAATGGCCTCCATCCTAAGAGCGATGGCCTCCAATTAACGTAGACAGCCTAAGGAACATGTTGCAGGGAGTATTGTAAAGAACTGGATCGTGTTGAGGCAAAGTGTCCAGCCTTTCCAAAAAGAGCAGCAAAACACGTTCAAAAAAGTTAGCTTATGCTATTGAAAGGGGGTGCAAAAGCTTGCATTTGAAAGAGGTGCTTCGCTCACGCTAGGTGTGCTGCTAGATGCTCACAGTGCCAGACTGCAGCCTGACGTGAACGCGACGGCTGCCGCGACGGCTGCCGCGACGGCTGCGTTTCATCTTTCGCATGCCTGTTTGGCTGCCAAAGGCATCCTCACATCATGCGTGCCATGCATTCGCCGTCTTAGACGTGTTCTTGAAGCGAATTCAAGAAGCTACTAGTAACAAGTGCATCGCTTCTAGTAACAAGTGCCTTACTAGTAATAACAAGAAGCTACTAGGAACAAAGGCCATCACTACTAGGAGCGATCGGACGCTACGAACGGGGCTCCTGGCCGTACTAGGAACAAAGGGCATCGCTAACGGCCATCGCTTCAGTTGAGGCCATCGTGTTTTGCATCCGGCGGAATGCCCGGCAGTCCATCCCCCTGACCTTCCCGGCCAAGTCGGAACTCGTGAGACAAAAGGGCCACCATTGGGAAGAAACGCACAGAACGCAGTTCAGGACGTTTAAAGAAGTTTAATGAAGATATTTGTACCGAAATTGAAGGAAAGGATTAAAGAACAGTCTCAAGAAGTCTACAGAGACACCAGAAAACGATTGAACAACTAGAACTAGAACTTGTCTTTGAGGTTTTGGGAAGACCGTTTTGGTCTTCCTCCATCCCAACTGTCAGAAGGATTGTTCCAACGGTCTCTTCGGTCTAATTCTTCAGACTTGTTCGACTGGTTCCCAGTCCATCTGCAAAAAGCTACTAGTAGCGATGCACTTGTTACTAATAGCTTCTTGCTCCTAGTAGTACGGCCAGGAGCCCCTAGTAGCGTCCCTGCTCCTAGTAGCGATGCACTTGTTGCATTGAAACTTGTCGCTTTCACTTCCCACTCATTGGTCATCATACGAAATCATTTGGTGCGCAATTCTGCGAAAGCAGAACCACCTGTTAGGATGCCTAGTGTCCTTCACGTCCCTGTACGTGTTGGAGGCCATCGCTCTTAGGTTGGAGGCCGCTTAGCGGCTGCTGCTTCCGTATCGGCGTGATTTCCTTTGGATCGGATCAGGTCTGTTCATTCGCTCGCCCATGCTCGCCTCAGATTTGCTCAAAATCTTGAAAACCCATTGCACAGTTGAACAGAACGGAAATGTCAGAAAACATCCAAACAGCATGAACACTTAAAATGATCTTCATGTATAATCTACAGGTCTTGGCTTTGCAAATGGCAAGCGCGAACATGTCCTGGATGGACGAGAAGACGAAGAAGAGGTCTGCTCAGTCTTGTTTGGTTCTTCAAGGGAGCTGCTTCTCACGGTTTGTGTGGTACTAGTGGTACTAGGACGCTATTAGGAGGCCGCTTGGAGGCCAAAAGACAAGTAACAAGGTTCGCTACTAGGGGCTCCTGGCATCGCTACGAACGGAGCAAGGACGTTACGAACGGGGCTCCTGGCCGCACTACCAGGAACAAGAAGCTAATTACGATATGTTCCTTAGCACTCTGCTTTTATCTCTTCTGCTTTCTGCTTTGCAGGGAGCGGGACTCATTGGTGCTCTACGTCTTGATCCTCGTGTTCTTCTTTTCTTGTCAATTCGGCCACGGCTCAAACATTGGCGTGGCCGTGTCGCTGCCAGGGTGGCTCGGCCCCAGAAAGGTGAAGGTTTGAAGCTACCAGAAAGGTGACGTAACAAGGGTTTCGCTACGAACGTAGCTCTTGGCACTAGGAATAATACAGCATGAAAGTGTCCCTAACAAATTCTCGGAACCACATGAATAGTGCGCGCGCGTGAGCTATCCTGCATCCTAACTAGCTACCTAGCCACTACCTCTAGCGGCCTAGCCCCCGCGCGGAAGCAAAAAACAAGAAACGGTTCGAATGTCTCGAAATAGGAAAGTCTTCACCTGTTACTAGTAGTAAGAATGCTCCTAGTAGCGATGCCCTTGCTCCTACTAGCTTCGAAAAAGCCTTTCGTCCAGGGACAAGGGCCAAAATGCCATGAACCTGGCACTTGGATCGTTTAGACCTCAGAAGCATGCGTTGAGCTCGTTTGTCTGAAGAAATCACTTGTCTTTAGATTGAAAAAAAACCTTACTAGTTGTTCTATTCTTGCTACGTAGTAGTGCCCTGGATACTAGTAGCTTCTTGCCCTATTTCGTTTCAAAAAATATGGGGCTATTGAGATTGGAAACGAGTTGATCACGCACTTTCACTTGCCTTGGACCCTTATGTTCTCACGTCGGGTGCTCACGTGTGCTCCAAGTTGGGTGATGGTCGGCGTTTGCCTGGGATTGCCCTTGACACCTTGGGCATGCAGGAGAGTGCGGGGCCTTTGCTAAAAAGCATAAACCATTGCAAAATTAACATGCTTGTTGCTTAAAGCGAAGCGAGCAGAATGTGTTGGAGAGTTCAACGTGTCTTTCTATTCGCTCCTAGTAGCTTCTTGTTCCTAGTAGCGATGCCAGGAGCCCCTAGTAGCGATGCCCTTGTTCCTAGTAGCTATTTGTTCCGTTCGCAGGATGTTTGGAGAGTTCAACGTCGTGGCCGTGTGCACTTTGCTGGACGTCGTGGCCGTGGGCCGAGTGGTCGACGCGTCGCGGCCGTGGTCGACGCGTCGTCGAGCACAGATGAGATGAGAAGCAGAGAAGAGAAGAGAAGCTACTAGGAACAAGTGCATCGCTTCTAGTAACAAGTGCCTTACTACTAGTAACAAGAAGCTATTAGAAACATTCTAATTAAATGGTATATTTACTAATGGCTTCTTGTTACTACTAGTAAGGCCCTTGTTACTAGTAGCGATGCACTTGTTCCTAGTAGAGAAGCAGAGCACAGAGGAAACGTTTGGAAAACGCTGTTCTCCCGACGGAATTGCTTGAGGCCATGCTACTGATGACCATCCCTGGCATTTCACTGCATCAAATCTATGCGGTCTCACGCTCAAGATCGAGACCGCAGAGACAGCACACCGCCTTCGCTCCGTTCTTCGCCGCTTTTGCCAAGTTTTTGCCACACTTGTTACTGCTAGCGTGGCACTTGTTCCTAGTAGCGTGGCACTTGTTACTACTAGCGTGGCACTCCCTTGACACTTCAAACTCGCTTTCAGTTTGGAGGCCATCGCTAGTGACAAGAAGCTACTAGTTAAGTGTCCCTAAAAATCTCGGAACCACATGAATAGTGCGAGCGCTTGAAGAAGCACGACCTATCCTGCGTCCTAACTACTAGCTACTTGCAGGTACTAGCTACCGTTTGCTTCTCCCTAGCTACCTCTAGCTACTACCGGCCTACCTCTTCTACCGGCCTACCCCCCCCCGCGCGCGGAAAACAATCTATTTGTGTTGGATCGATCGTCGCTTTACAGGTCCGTTTTATGGTGGGCTTCTTCGAGGCACCGATCCTTCCTTACTTGCAGGAGACGGGACGAAAGGTGAAAAGATCGAAGTAGCGATGGGTAGAGAGGCGGCTTGGGAGGCTTAAGTAGGTAAGTAGGTAGCAGGCTAGAGTGAACAACTCAGGACGGCTAAGGCTCAGACTTAACGATTTGGTTGACTTTTGGAAACTTAGTCTTTAGAAGGGAGTTACTAAGTAGCGTCCTTGTTACTAGTAGTAAGGCCAGGAGCCCCTAGTAGCGTTTAGAATCCTTTGTTTCGAGTCCTCTCAGTCCTCGCTCCCAACTCATCCAGGAATGGCTCGCACGTCATGGCAGCCACAACTGGAACGTCGGGTCTCAGTTTTCAGAACCGCGGAATCCGGAAAGACAAGCTTTGGCGAAAACAACAATGAAGTCGCTGTTGATCAAAAGAAATATAAACTAAGAGAATGAATGCAAGCTGTTCTGCGTTCCATTTTCGTTTCACTGACAGGTCTGGAATGCGATTCTTCACGCCATGGTGCCTTTGGGAGAAAATGTTGGATTCATCTTGGCTCAGGAGCGAGAGAGAGAGCGAGAGAGAGAGAGGGAGAGGCAGAAAGAGATGGTTTAATTGCATTAATTGCCTGCATGCTGGGCTTATAGCTACTACGACCCGACGCTACAAGAAACAAGAGTCTATTTTTGGCAAGGATGCGTTTGGACTAAGAAAGCAAAATGAACATCAAATTGTCTATACTATAATACTAAGGGTCAGAAGAAACAAGGGAATAACTTTGCCAGCATAGACCCTAAACAGTTTCATCCGCCGGAACATAGCCAGAAGATTGATGAGCTGTGTGAACGTTCAGCCTAACTCGGGACCAGCAGCCTAAGCAGGTTGAGTCTAGTGGGCTGTCAGCACTTGGCCCCTCCCCATCCTTAAGCAGGGATACGTGCCAAAGCAATCGCCAAACAAGAATGTACCCCCCGACTCCTCCTAACTCCAAATCACATTTTCAGCTGCAATCACGATGAAAGCATCATCCACATAGCAATGACTGCTGGAGGGTTTGCTCGGTGGACCAGAAAAACTCTGTAAATATCAGAGCAATCACAATTCACGAAAGCTAGCACCAGCTAGCTGGAGTTGTCCTTGCTTTAGCAAGTGAGGGGCTGGAATCCTCGGGATCGCAGCATCACGTGAAAACTTCATATGTAGGGGGGGGCCCCCCCCCCCCTGAAAAGTAGAGCCTACCTGTACAGGGTTCCACTCCAACAGCCGATATAGTGTGTCCATGCTTGACTGCTTCAAGGCTCAAAAGAGCAAGAGGATAAGACTCTGCGCATAAAAGACACTAGCGGTCTGCACCTCTACCGTGTACGCCCTAGTCACTCTTTCAGTGGTAGCGGAGCGGTGATCCTGGAAGACCCAGGTGAGCTCCTTTCCTAGGCATAGACTTGCTAGTGGGCAAACGGCCATGGATTGGATAGACGACTGGGAAGAGCCTGATGCGGATGTGGCTTATGAGCCAGCAGCCTACGTGAATAGGCATGTGAGAAGAGAACCAGCAGCAATAGCAATGACAACACAGGTCACTACAAAGGTGCCCCCATCTTATGATGGAAAGACTTCATGGTTTTCCTATGAGGATGCCATAGACGATTGGTGTGATATCACCGAGCTGGAAGATGAGAAGAGAGGACCAGCATTGAGAAACCGACTAGAAGGAGAAGCAGCTGTATACAAGCGAGTTTTAGACAGAGATGCATTGAAGGCAAATGATCCACCAGGAGCTGGCGTAGAATATTTCAAACGAGTACTACGACCATATTTCGTGAAGGGATCAACCAATGTATTCCTGTATAGATTTATGCAATTCGTGCGCTTCAATCGAGGATCAGCTGACATGATGAAATGGATGACAAGATTCCAGATTTTACTCCAAAGGCTTATGAGCAGTTGGATGGACATGTTAGAACCAGTCACTCAAGCACATCCGCAAGTCCTAGCTCAGATGCAGGCAGATGCAGCGTTGACTGGAGTAGCACCAACGGCAGAAAGGATTCAGGAAATCATGCAGACCATCAATGGCAATATGAGAACTTTTCATCAGAATGAATTTCCTCTAGGAGAAAATCTCATTGCATTACTCATGCTGTCACTTGCAGATTTGTCTCAGGACCAGCGAAACACTTTGACTTCTTTGATGACTCATCGTGGCAGGGTCCTGCAGCAATACACTACAACAGAGTTGAGGACAGTTTTCATTGAGATGTTCTGCAAGACAAAGACTTCAGTAGACAATCCTTTGATGCAGCCAACAGGTGCTGGAGGTAGAAGATCATTTCTCGTACTAGACGAAGGAGAACTCGATGGTACATTTGGCTATTGGGCCGAAGATGAAGAAGATGGAACAGAAGGATTTTTAGATGCCCTGGACGATGTCTTTTGGGTATATGATGATCAAAACTTCTCGTGGTTCCAAAGGAGATTCCAAGGAAGAAGAGCCAGAAAAGGCAAAGGAAAAGGAAGAAGAAAAGGAAAAGGTAAAGGAAGATCAGGCCGCAGATTCTTCAGACCTCGTGGAAAAGGAAAAGGAAAGAGACGAGGTAAAGGCCATTTTGCTGATGAGCAACAGACAACTTATCCAGAAGAGTACTTTGAAGAGAATCCTTATGAGGACACTTGGGAGTCAAACCAAGTAGCATATGATGCCATTCTTGCCGAAGATATGAATGACTATCTTCAAGGAGAATATGATGATGCCAATGACTTTTGGCAACAGCTTGAAGAAGCATGGTTTTCCCACAAAGGAAAAGGAAAAGGCAAGAGAAAAGGCAAGAAAGGAAAAGGAAAAGATAAAGGAGATGGCAAACAAGATGCAAACTATGCAAATCAACAACAGCCACGTTCTTTGCCTGCACCTTCAAGATCTTCACAAGCATCAGGAGGTCAACAAGGTTTCTTTGCACATTGTGTGACAGCAGCAGCTGAAGTCCATGACAGTGAGGTGGACTTGCTGTCAGGCATGATGACCTCATGTCAAGATGAAGCTGACTGCGCGGTCAACAATGGTGAGACGATCTTCAACGGCATGAGTGCCCCTGTGAGGTACTCTTTGTCAAAGGAGATGCTCACAAAGGCTCCTGATGGCTTTGCGCTTATGAGCGCTGAGAAAGAAGTGAAGGAGATGCAGGCCATTTCATTTTTGACTGAGAATCGCTTCCCGCCGACTATTGCAATCCTGGACATTGGATGCACTAGAGCTATGGGATCAAGGCGAGCAGTCGACCATTTTTGCAACTATGTCGACAATCACCCAGATTGTGGATTATGGTACTCTTTTGAGTCTACCAAGAGCAAGTTTTACTTTGCCGATTCCCAGAAGGCTACTTGCTCTCAGAAACTGGTGATTTACATGTATGATCGTGCATGGACGATCCACCATACAGAGTTCGACATAGTGGAAGAAGGAGAAGTCCCTTTGCTTATGAGCTTGCCACAGATGAGGAACTTAGGCTTTGAACTCAGGCTGACACCTCAACATGCTTATCTGACATCGGTGCCTCTTGGTATCAAGTATTTGGAGTTGAAGGTTGCAGCCAGTACTCATCTTGTCTTGGACTTCCAAGATATTGCATGGTATCTGTCTGACGTGAATCTGCAGACTCGGCGCGAGAAGAGTTTTTACTCTCACTTCACTCACTATGAATATGGTCATATTTCTGTTGATCACAATAGTGATGAAGATGTAGCTGAACATGCATATCCTGTGGTTGACTACTGGGAAGTAGATGTTCACAAGAGAGAACTGATACGTCACCACAAGGATTATAGAAAGATTCTTTTTCCAGCGACTAAGTCCTGTCCTGTAGACACTGACTTACTGGAAGACTTGCGACTGACAATCATCAAGAAGAAGAAAGGAGGAGAAGAGATAAAGAAGCAGGATGATTGGCGCAAGGCAAAATGGAAGGACCTACAAATTGGCTATGAATGGCGTGGTAGAACAATTTTTAAGTTCAAGCCAGATGCCAAAATTCCAGATCTAAAGATCAGGAAGGCTGGCATTGAGCACCGTGGCATTGGTGATCCCGATGCAGTGGTGCGCTCCTCCTCAGAGAAGGTTCCCATTGCAAAGGACAGGGAACCAGGCTTCTCGTCAGAGAAGGAAGGTGCACCATCAAGTGCCGCGGAAAAGCCCGCGCCGCCAAAGTTTCGGTATACTTCCAAGGGTTTTGATCCATTTTGGAAGGGACACAAGTCGAAACCATCTGAGCCTCAGAATGATTTAAAGGGTGATGATCTTGAGGAGTATGCTCCCTCAGAACCACCTGAGAGACCAGAAGGTGAACTTGTAGAAATTCCTAAAGCATCAAAAGGACAATCAAGTGATAAACATGAACCACTTGAACCAGGTGATGGCGCTCTTGAGCCTAGGCGGATTTCAATCCCATTACCTGGTAGTGAAGTTGTTGCAATGACACCGGCATATAGGAAGATGTTACAGAGACTGGAGGACAAGGTAGAGCTTTATAAGCTTCATGTGAAGCACTACCATATGAGTCCTACTCAGTTTCGTAGACGTGTTTCTATGTTGAAGCTTCCTGACTCTGTTTTAGAGAAGTATGAATCAGTTGTCAGGAATTGCCGTGTTTGTAACACTTCAGTGGCACCTCCGCCACGAGCCAGAGTCTCCGGTATTAGAGCTTCATGTTTTGGTGATGTTGTTTTTGCTGATCATTGTGAGGTTGAACTTCACAAGAACAAGTATATCATATCATTTTACTTGTTCTTGATGGTGCCACAAATCTTCTCTGGGCTACGGCACAGAAAGACCTCATAGATCAAACCACCATCCAAGCATTGAGGCAATGGTCTGATGAGAACAACTGTGTTCCAAAGGCCATCGTAGGAGACGAAGCCTTTTTCACCGATGCTTTTGTTGAATACTACAGGTTCCATGGTATACAACAATGTCCTTGTGGGCCAAGAACTCCTTGGCCGAACCGAGCAGAGACAGCTGTACGTTTGTTCAAACGTATGTGGCATGTTATGAAGGTAGATCTGGATGACCCACGTTTTCGTGGTGTTACGGTCAGAGAAGTGGTCAAGAAAGTAGTTTGGGCAAGAAATTGTCAGTTGACTATCAGTGGATATTCACCAATAGAGATAGCAACTGGAAGACGTCCACCAGATCTTTTTGACCTTGAGACCGCAAGCCCTGAGCAATTGTCAGCTAATGCCGCCGCACAAGATCGTACAAATTTGGAACTACAACGTGTGGCTTTGAGAGCTCATCAAGAAGCACGACAAGCTCAGGACCTTCGAGCAGATCTTGCAAGAAGGACTATGCCAAGTGACGGTCCCTATTTCCAAGGAGAGAAGGTTTTTGTTTGGACTCAGGATTCATCAAAGTTCAAGGATAAAGGACGTTGGGTTCGTGCCACAGTACTTGGACAAGAAGGAGCTATGGTCCAAGCCAATACTGGTAAGGCAGTGATACGTGTGAATCAGTCAAAGGTTAGACGTGATCACGATGAGTGGCATGATGTTTCCATTCCGGCATTAGACGA